GCAGGACCCGAGCGAAAACGATGGGCCCCAGTACTTCGGTGGATCGGCAAGGTCATGAGAGAAAGGCTGGAGAAGGGCCGACAGGTGATCTTCTATCACCCGTGGCGCTCGTCTCTGTGGAACTTCATGTCTCTTCGGAGTCTTCTGGAGGATGACTGGGCCGACGCAAGCACCGGGGAAACTCTCGAAGCTATCCCCGTGAAGGCCCGAAGTGACCAGGACATACAGTCCGGCTTGGTCACCGCCGCTCGGCCCTTGAAGCACCTCCTCTACCACAACGGCATTGGGAACACTTGCCGGCCTACTCCGAGCGCTCTGCGGCAGCATGGTTTTCCCGAGCAACTTGTGGCCCCCATCCTTGGGGGGATCCTGGAGACCTTGGACGATAACTACACCAAGGCTGCTTTCCCGGCCTAAGCCGAGCTGGAGGACTACCACCACGACGGCCACAATGAGCTCGACAGCATCGACGGCATCTTCTCTGAACGCGACCTGGTGAAGGACACCCCGGCCGACTACGACCGCAAGGCCCGGGATGAAGAACGAGAGGTGTCTCGTTTAGAAGGGCCACCTCCGGAGCATGAGTCTCTTGAGGCCGAAGCAATGAAGGAAGCTCGAAATGAATGGCGTCGGCTTCCTTATGGCCAACGTGTGGCCCTGCGCCGGCTGCACCATATGACCGGCCACAGCAGCCCAGCCTCTTTGCAGAGGCTCCTTCGGACTGCTGGTGGCGACCCGGCAGCGATAAAGGCCCTCAACTTCTTCCACTGCCCGACCTGCGAGCACCACCGGGAACCGAAACCCACACCTTCGGTGCGCCTCCCCGGAGACTACACCTTTAACAAGGAGATCTCCCTCGACACCTTTGTGGTGAAGGACTCCCTGGGGGTCAAGTTCAAGGTTCTCAGCATTGTCTGCCAGGGCACGCTTTTTCACATTGCTTGTGTGATTGGCCAAGGGGACGGCCCGCCTGCCTCATCAGATGTGGCAGATGCTTTGAACAAGATGTGGTTCTCCTGGGCAGGAGCCCCCACCGCTGTTGTACTGGACCGCGGCTGCGAGAACCGTGGCCAGCTTCAAGCTCTTCTCCGTGGCCGCGGGGTGATCTTGCGCTATATCGGGCTAGAAAGTCCCAACCAACTGGGCCGGGGAGAACGGCAAGGAGGCATCCTCAAAGAGGTTCTTCAGCACATTGTGGTCGGGCGCCAGCTGGTTGGAAGGCGAGACATGGAGTATGCCACGAGTGAGGCGGCGTCCATCAAGAACAACCGCCTGCACAATGCCGGGTTCACGCCCAGCCAATGGGTGCTCGGCCGTCTCCCGGAGGAGATCGACGCGCTCACCAACCCCCTGGCCGAGAACCGCATTGGCCAGCACCAGGAGATACAGGACGGCGAGAGCCCTTTTGCCAGGCAAATGCTGATACGGGCGGCTGCCCGCGAGGCCTTCGCCCACTACGACTCCTCACGCCGGATCAGAGCAGCCATGCTCCGAAAGGGGGCGTCTCAGCCCGGGCCCTTTGTCACCGGCGACCTTGTCTGTTTCTTCAAGAGAGGCAGCCATGGGAGCAAGAAAGGAACGGGACGATGGTATGGACCTGCCCGGGTGATTGGGCATGAGTCCCGCTCTCTTCTCTGGGTGGTTCACGGAGGCATCCCAATGACTGTGGCGACCCACCAGTGCAGACACGCCACTGGGGAAGAGGCTGTTACCAAACGCGAGCTGGAGTTGAGACCATCCCGTAAGAGACGGCGGGAGGAGGCGAGCGGACCAGGACCGGACGAAAACTACGACTACCCGTTCGGCGACGACCTGGCCGGAAGCCCTCGCCGAGGACAAGTTCAAGGGACCTTCTTTGACGTCCAGGACCACATGAGCGACTACGAGCCCAGCCTGCCTGACGAGAACCCGGACGAGGCCACGGGAAGTTTGCCGGGACCCTCGGCACCACCGGGGCTGGGATCACCCGTTCCCCTTCCTTTGCCTGCTGTGCCTGAAGACACGCCGGCAATGACCACACCGGTCCCGGATGGTTTCAGTGACGACAGCCCGAGCAGCGCCAACGAACCCGAGCAGGAGGAAATCCCTGGGAGCAGCAGACGCACGAGCTCTTCCACTCCGGCACCGCCTGTTCCCTCGATGGCCGTGACGCCTCTTATGGAGGCAATGAGACGCTCTACCGAGGGACTGGACGGCACTCCCCGCGGCACACCTCGGGGACGCTCAAGATCACCGGCGCCGACTTCGAGAAACACGACTGGACCGCGCGTGGACGACCCAGCGAGCCGGGCCTTCCACTCCTTCCTCGCCAAGAGAGTTGCCAAGAAAACGGCTCAGGCGCGAAGCAAGGAGCTGAACTTTGACAAGGCCACCGGCACCGAGCGAGAGGGAATTCAAGCGGCCAGGAAAAAGGAGTGGAGCAACTGGCTGAACTTTGAGGCCGTGATCCAGCTCACCCCTGCGGAAGCCCAAAAGAAGCTTGAGGAGCACCCAGAGCTGAAGGTGACGCCGATGAGATGGGTCGACGGCAACAAGGCCCAACCTTGGGAGACCCCAAGGTATAAGAGCAGGATCGTGGTGAGAGGCGACTTGGAGAAGGGCGCCGACGAGGCGCGCACCGATTCGCCCACCTGCTCCAGCCTGGCCATGAACCTGGTGCTTTCCGCGGCAAGCTGCAAGAGATGGCCTTTGAAAGGCGGCGACATCACCGCCTCCTTCCTGCAGGGTGAGCTCATGGTTCGTACCTTACTTCTTTCTCAGCCGAAAGGAGGGCTACCTGGGGTGCCACCTGACTCCTTCTTCCTCGCCCGGAAGCCCGTCTACGGCACGAAGGACGCACCCCGCGGTTTCTGGAGACGCCTCCATCGCACCTGCCTGAAGGAAGGTCTGGAGGCTGTGGACCACGAGCACTCCTTCTACGTTCTACGTGGCCCTGGCGGAACTGTCGAGGGCCTTTTGGTCAGCCACGTTGATGACCTGCTGTGGACGGGAACCTCCAGCATGGATGCCGTGATGGACCGAGTGCAGGAAGCCTTCAAATTCGGGACTTTAGAGCTCGGGAAGGACTTCGAATATTGCGGCAGGCGAATCGAGCAGACCGACCAGGGCATCCGGGTTACATGCCCAAATGTTGCTCCAAAGTTCGGCCGATTCACCTCCCGGCCGAGCGGAAGCGACAGAAAGGAGCCGAGGCCACCGAGCAGGAGAGATCCCAGTTGAGGAGCATGGTCGGCTCCCTAGCCTGGCTGGTTCGTGTTTGCCGGCCCGACCTTGGATATGCCACCCACCGGCTGCAAACCCTGATGACCCGAGCGACGGTTGAGGACCTGGCCAAGTGCAACAGCCTCCTGCAGTACGCCAAGGGGAATCCGGGGAAGGGTCTCTCTCAATCACCGACGCGTCCCACGCCAACGACTACGATGTGTCTGGTAGTGGCCAGCTGCTGGGCCACCGGTCCCAGTCTGGGCGGATGATCCTTCTTTGCGGCCCTGAGTTCATGAAGAAGGGGACCGGCGTGGTGCATCTTTTGTCCTATCACTCGTCTGTCATCAAGCGAGTGTGCAGGTCCACCATGCAAGCAGAAACGCTAAGCATGCTGGCAGGGTACGAAGAATCAGAGCATTTGCGGACAGTGATGTACAACCTACGACACCGCGACAACGACAAGGGCCTTGTGAAATCCATGGACGCGATCCACGTGCACCTCCTCACCGACTGCCGCTCTTTGGAGGAACACCTGCGACAGGCAGGCCTCCACACCGTACTGGATAAACGCCTGGCCATAGACCTGAGTGGTCTTCGGCAGGTTGTGTGGCGCAACCCTGGCGAGCTCACCGGTGACCCGCTCTTCACGGACTTCCCTCCGGAGAACGCCACGACCACGGTCACTTGGGTGGAGACCAGTACGATGCCAGCAGATGCCCTTACGAAGGATATGAAATGCGAGCAGAT